ATATATTAATATCTGAGTCATGGGGAGCGGTATACATACCAATGTCATTTATGAAACAAGAAAGCAGAAGACTGTATTTCTAGAGCTCACTTGGACTAATATTTAATACAACACAATTTTCTTAAATATGAATAAGCTTCTTAGGGTTTGAGATAGTCCTGTGCATAAGGCTCTTTATGATAAGGTCTTAATTACCTTTTGAAGACCAACCATTATAACTTTTGAAACAGCACTATTAGAACTAATATTGGAAAGCTTTTTCTTTAATACAACTATCTGCCAAGAAAAATTCAGGATAATATCTGAAATTAAGAAAGAGTATCCGAAATTACTTTATTTGAAGGCTTAAGAAAGTGTCCATGGAAGAACTCTTAATTTAGCAGTTTGTTTTCCCTCTGCATCTTGGAGAAGAGCTAGGAACAAGGAAACCTGGGCCTGAATAAAGGCTCCACCATTCACTATTTCCCCTTGTTTGATAGAACTGAACATCTGCTGGCGCCAGGCACCACTTTAGGCATTGAGCACTATTCTGCGAGTTTTCTGACCTTCAGATACGTTACCCCTATTCCAAAGCTATCTCCTTCTCTGTAAACTAACATCTACCTGCCTGATTTATAAGGTTATTTGAAGCTCAAATGAGGCAATATACGTGAAAGCATTCTGAAGATTTGGTAAAGCCCCATCAAGTGAAACTTTTTGGTTAAGATATAAGTACTCTGGTGCAAGTCGCTGGACACATGTTGTAGGAATGTGGTTCAGGATGAGTATGTCTGGACCCTCTCAAAGCAAATTTATTACCCATAGTTCCAGAAAGTCTTTAAAAATTTTTTAGGTTGGACGTGGTGGATCACACCTCTAATCCCAGCACTTTGGGAGGCTGAGGTGGGAGGATCACGCAGCCAGGAGATCAAGACCATCCTGGCTAACACGGTGAAACCCTGTATCTACTAAAAATACAAAAAATTAGCTGGACGTGGTGGCATGTGCCTGTAGTCCCAGCTACTCGGGAGGCAGAGGCAGGAGAAATGCTTGAACCTGGGAGGCAGAGGTTGCAGTGACCCGAGATCGCGCCACTGCACTCCAGCCTGGGTGACAGAGCGAGACTCCGTCTCAAAAAAAAAAAAAAAAAAAAAATTTATTAACACTATAGACATGCTTCTTTGTAACTACAATGTTGTTTACAAAAGTTACATGCTTCATTATAAAACCGTGTTTCTCTTCTTGAACCCAACTCTATGGAGAATATTAACATAACCAATAGTTGGTGGGAGGAAGATTTTCCTTTACAAATTGCAGTTGCGAAGAAAATGTAAGGTGATATTTGTTTGTGGTCACAAATTATCATTATAGTAACTAAGCCAATAATGACCAGTTTCACTAATTACTAAGTGCTTTACACACAATATTTCAATAAATACTTCCATGAGGCAGGTATATTAGCCCCATTTTAAAAGATTAGAATCCAAGTTACTGCAAAATCCAAGCTCTTAACTACTATACTACGTTAGGCAATAAAAATACCAGAACAAAAAAGCCATAACTATTTCTATCTTCACAAAATCACATACTTAAGAGAACTGTAGATTAAAGGACTCAAAACAATGTTCTGAGCTTTGGTAATAAAAGTGACTTTAAAAAAGTTATTATATAAGTGCTTAAGATTCAGTTAACTTTAAATCTTTAAACTTTATGGGTTTTCCCATAAAGTTTAAAAATAAGATTGCCTTTTTAAAAAAAGAATTTTAAAAATAAGATTGCTTCCTGAAAACAAACAAAAACAACTCAGCAAAGAATTAAAATAAAAACATCCATTATTTCATCATTCACAAGAACCATTATTGACATTTTCCCTCTGCATATATGTTTATGTAACTGTGAACTATAGAATTTAGGTAGATTTTGACGACTGTTGTTAAACATGATGTCAAATGGAACTATCGTACTTTTAATTGGTAGACATAAATTAATAGTAAACTTTGTGCAGGCAGAAAATTATTACATTAGAGAGAGATGTATTTTCTATCTTCCTAAATTTTCCAACTATAGAAAAACAAGGAAAGAGTAATTTATCTCAGTTGTATAAGCTCAAAAGTATACTGGCCATAAGAGAATTATGAGCAATTCGTAATCTTTGTGTATGTACACACACACCTATATAAATATACACATACTAAACTTTTTTTCTGGCTGTGTTGAGATTTATAGCTTTCTGAAGGTTTGACAATACTATAACTAATATTATTAGATCAGTTAAGAAAAAAAACGCTTTTCATAGTCACTGAATTTTGCCAAAGTTACACTCACAGGTGATTAAACTACAGAGTTTTCCCTTGTTAAATATTTGCTTAAGACAGAATATTCAAGATCAGCTAAACTCTTTACAGGAATCACATCAAAAATTTCTACCAATTGTGGAATAAAGAGAAGAGGAAAAAAATAGGGACAAATCAGCAGAATAATTCAGGACAAAGATTCCAGGTATTATATAAAGCATGTGTAATGCCACATTACTGGCATTTCAATTGAGGTGACTTACACTAAAATCTGACTCTTTTTAAACTATCATTGGACATAACAATTTATGCAACAAGAAAAGCAAAAGTTAAAAAATATGAAGTCCTTAGAGAATAGGAAAGATAGACATGGATCAACAAGTTTTAAAAATAAACTTTCTGGTACTTCCTCCTATGTGAGAGGTTTATCCTAGTCATAAATTCTAGGAACCTATTTATATTGCGTTAGTGTGATTTATTCAAAATCATATTAATCTACTACAAATAATACTTTTAACGTAAAAAACAATGCAGACTGGCAGTGGGTAAGAATAAGGATGTTTGATAAAACTGCACTTTGAGAGTCAACAAAAGTATAAGCTAGGACTAACATAAAACTGTCTAGACAAACGAAGGGAATAGATTGTAAAAAATGCTTTTGCATTTTCAATGTACATGAAAATGTACAACAAACACTGTGTTTGTGTATTATATTGAAAAATAAATTGTCAGACACTTCTAAATTAGCAGATTAAACTTATATATACTTCTTTTAGAGTGTGAAATTGTTTATGTCCTTAAACAAAGAGTGACTGGGTCACAACATTCTCGTCCTGTCCAACTAGAAATAAGAAATATAGTAAGTCAAATGAGATTTAAAAAATAACGCCAGCCGGCACAGTGACTCACACCTGTAATCCCAGCACTTTGGGAGGCTGAGGCAGGCGGATCACCTGAGGCCAGGAGTTTGGAACCAGCCTGGCCAACATGGTGAAACTCTGTCTCTACTAAAAATACAAAAAGTTAGTCAGGCATGGTAGTGTGTGCCTGTAATCCCAGCTACTGCGGAGGCTGAGGCAGGATAATCTCTTGAACCCAGGGGTGGAGGTTTCAGTGAGCTGAGATCGCGCCACTGTATCTGCCTTCCTGGGCAACAGAGCCAGACTTCACCTCAAAACAACAACAACAAAAAAAAGGAAAAAAAAAAAAAAAAGAAAAGAAAAAACCTAAGGCCTATTCTCCCTAAAAGAGAATGTTATACACCCTTTTATTACAGAACATTTCATTTTTTTGATTGCTTGTGGAGAGAAAAGGTTTATGAGGTAATTACACATGGTTTTAAAAAGGATTCCTTTTAATTTTATATCTATACTTCTCTTTAAAAATAGCTTCAGCAGAAGACTAATTAAATCAATGTCATGATTTATACATCCTTACTTCAGAGATTCAGCTAACCTTATGAATAAAACAAACTAATACTACATTTCAAAACAACATTCCAAAAAATAATTAAAAATAAACAGTGATGCTTTAAAAAGATTACACTTCAAATTTAGCACTGTTTTTCACAAGGAAGGGAAGCATATTATGCCACATTGTCTACAAATATTTACTGAATAAACATGGTTCACCTGATGTTTTTAAAATCTTGTAAGCTGATTAAATCACAAACACGTTGAATAGGTCTTAAGAAAAAATGATTAGGCTTTTAAATAGTTATAAATTATGACAGCAGAAACTTTTTCAATATCTTTTTAGGGTTAAAAAACAACAAAAATTGAAAAACAGTATTATTCTTTTCGGCCTTAATATTCTGAAGAGTAATATATTAGGATATATTGTATCTATTAATAGCATCAAAATACTTCACACTGAAAATTTCACTTTGAAAGCTTAAAAGTGATTTTTATAAACATCACAATAAATGATAATTTAAATTCTGGATATGGGAACAAAAAACCTCTAAACCTGAACCCAACGAATCTGCATGTAATGCTTACAAGTGAAATGTAAATTTCCAAAACAAGCAAGACACATGACCATCAGATTTAGCTGTCACAATAAATTATTTATCACAGATACTAAGTAATGTGTCCTGAAGTCCCTTTTTTCCTTGAAAGTCATAATATTTCTGGGGACTCACTCATCATCTGAATGTAGTCACTCAAAAACAAAATTAGAGGAGTCGGTCTATATGCCCTTAGATATTCTGTGTCCAACTTTACCTGTATAAAGTTTTAAGGCATTAAAGTGGTATGTTAGAACAACAAATTATTTATAATAAAAATAGATCAAAACTCTCCTTTAAAAATATCTCAACTGAGAAAATCACAGAAGAGAGTAAGAATCATATTTACCACTGATGTACTCCTTAAAAGCTTCTACAGCGATAAAAAGACTTTTTTTTTTTTTTTTTGGCTTATAACAGATTTTATGCCTTGAATAGTTCATGTTCTTATACAAATGTGGATTGGAGCTTAAGTTCTGCCTAAAGTTACTGCAAAATTTACACATTCAATTGTGCTGATTGCTATTAATAAAGGTAGAAAAAGTTAAAATATCTGGTATTATTATCAGTATTCATTGTAAATTATCTTATAGTATTCTCTACTGTAGTGTGGACTTCATTCTTGTGCCAAATAGCAGCACAGATTACAATATCATGATTCCAATGATGATCAACAACTCAGCTAGTATTGGCCAGAGCAAAGGAATCTGTTTATAATAAAAAAAGTAAATAAGAAGCATAGCTTTATTTTAATATCAGTTGTTAGAAATGAGCAAAGGGCATCTGGGTATCCAGAGGCAGAAGTGAAGTTTTCTTTCATTAAATTACAGCGATAGGATGGGGACAGCAGGTGGTGGCAATGGGTTGCTAGCTAGCTGGCTGGCTAAAATACATACCTGAGCTCTACTGGAGCTATGCAACCTTGCTGGGTATCAGTTATTTGTAAAGCCTGACTGAACAAAACTGCCTTCATCATGCAAGCACTGCTGTCTGCACTACAGTAATAAAGAAACACGCTGACAGATATAATGGCTTCAAGTGCTAAACAATCATTAGGAATCTGTAGTGAAATTGTTGGTTGATTGGAAATGTTCTCTATATCTCCAGATGGTATCTGTCCTTGAAGCAGCCATTCATTGCCTGAAAATTTAAAAAGACATTATTAAGACTATATAAGACAAGTAGAAAACTGGGAATATCTTATGAAGACTAGGTTAATTCAACCAACAAATATTTATTAAAGATTTATAAATGCCAGGCATTGTGCTCTGTGGGAAGCACATAAATATAAATAATATATAATGACCACTCGTTAGAAGTTCCCAGTCTGATGATTATATCTAATTATTAGAGTTCTTCCTTTGTTTGGATACTATAAAGTAAATTATACATTTATTCCTATTAAAATTGAGCTGAATATTGCAAATATGGATATAAAGCCTTAATCTCTAAAGTTAAAAATGAAACCTATTAAATTTTAGAAATAAACATATGACATTGAGAAAATGGATCATTTTCACCAAACAGATAAGTCTTCAGGGATATATAAACTACAAAATAAAATTTTATCTAGGAAATGCAAATGTATCTGCAACTCTGTAGTGACTTTCTATTTAATAATGAATTACTGAATATCTAAAAGTAATTAAACACACACACACACACACACACACACACACACAAAAAAAAAAAAA